CAATAATTAGGCCTTTCAGCCTGGAAAGGCTGGAGCCACAGCTGCTTCCTATTTTCCCCAAAGCTGTACAGAGTATTAGTCATTTCACTGGGGTTTTTTATTACCGTGACTACAGCCCCGTAAGTGTGCCGCCAAAACCCAGACAAGCCAAACCAGCCTGGATTCAAAACGTACTTTGGGAGCTTGAAATGTTCTCCTGTCCCCCTTTCTGAGTCCTGGTTTTCCCTCCCCACCCAAACAGCCGGAGTCTGCCTGAAGAAATGTCCTGCTAGGTCTGGGCTCCGTACACAGGCCAGGCTGAACAAAATGAAGCAGTGATTATTGGCACTTCCATCCCAACTATTAATCATTAACCAGCCTTGGGAGTGACCTTGACACTTAATTAGTCATCTAGTCCTTCCTGAAGGCAAAGCTTTTCCCCACACTGTGCTGGTGGGAGAGGGGATTAGGGACTGTGTTTAGCAAGCAGGAGTGCTGCTGTGATTTTGGCAGTGCATGAAGGGGAGTGGGTGTAACAGAGACACATCTGCCCTCATGCATCAGCTTTTTTTGCCTAAGTTGTGATAGGGAAGGCTTTGCTTTTAGCTCTGGAGGCTCCAGGTTGTCCTGACAGTAGCATCCAGTCAAGAGGCCAGCCACTGATGTTCTGTTTTCAAGTCCTCCGCCCTCAGTCAACAGCAGCATTTGTTCTTTGCAGCTTAATTTGTAGCATCTTAACCAAGGGGTGATGACCCAGCAGATCAGCTGCAAGCCAGAAGTTGCCTTTGCTACACAGTGGCCACCTATCAGCCGACCTTCATGGTGTGAACTTTTCTCCTCTTTCCATGGAGAGAGTCCCTGGAAATGGTGGCAGCAGGACAGCTGGTCCTGGAAGTGGAAATAGTGCAGCTGAGTGTCACTAATGTGGAGGCAAAGAGGTGAACTACACGTGCCTCTCCTCCCTTCACAGGTGAAGCTGTGTCTGTGTACAAGGAAGCAAATGTCCATCCCCATAACCAGTTATTTTCCCCTGTGAATTCCTGCCCCAGAGGTGGTTGACTCACACTTCTCGCCAAATTGCATTTCACCTAGTGCTGGGCAAAACTGGTTTCACTGAGGCAAGAACTGCCCCAGACAGTGAACCTTCCAAACCTCTTAACGGACCCTTTTTTACTTTTCTCTTTTTAAATTAGAAAAGTTTCTGCCCTTCCTGGTTTCAGAACAGATGGGAAGTTTTCACTCCATTAATACTGGATTTTATGTCTGGACAGGAGTTGAATTATGGGATCATCTGATTAAAAACCCACATTAAATCATTAATGAAATGAGCTGCTCGATTATATAAGTCATATTGCTATTATTTCTGACTTGGCCACCGGCCGAAAGAAGCTGGAAAGTCCAAAGAAACAGCCAACCTTGACTGTGATTCACTCTCCCCCAGCTAAATTGCTAAGGAGGAAGGGAGGGACAGCATTTCCCAGAAAAGTGAGGACCAACACTAATGGGCAAGTCTGAGACGGAGAAAGGAGCCCCAGGAGCCGGGGAGATCCAAGGTCCCCGTTTTGAGTCAGATGGGTTTGATTGGGAACCTGTTGGCTGCTTTTCAGAGAGTTTTGTCCAACACAGCTGCCTGTAGTCAGAGGAATCCCAGCATCCTCCAGGTTAACTTTTCTAGGAGAGGCTGGGGTGCTGGGGGAAGCAGGGATATCCAGCTGTGTCTCACAGCTGGCCAGCTGCCGCTTTCCTGTGCTGTTCCCAAGCAGGACGCCTGCTCCTTCCACAGGGAGCAGTGCTGGTGTGGCTGAAAAACTTCACTCCTTCAAGTGTAAACGTCTTCTTCACTGGTTTTGTTTTCAGGTTCTGCCTGTTTTGACGCTGGAAGGAAAAACCCTAAATAAATTAAAAAGATAGCTGAGGGGAGGAGGCTTCGCTTGGGTTTTTCTTTGATAGGGACCTTTTGAATGCAACATTAAAAGAAAGGAGAGGTCTTTTGGTTAAGGGTCTGAGCTGAGATCATGTTTCTGGCTTCAGTTCTGATAGCCCTGGACTCCACAGTAGGTGAGTCAGGATGCCATCCAGAACACTGTATATCTCATCTCCTCTGTGGACACTGAAATATCTTCCTGGATCTGATGTGTAATCTGTGTGGGTCTCAATTACCTTTCTGGGAACTGAGACGAAAAATGTCTTTTTTTGTCCTTGCTATTTGTTTTCTTGCCTGGAAGGTATCTGGAGGACCTGAGAGGGAGATGAAAGTTGCTGAATGTGCCCCTGCTAGGGACACAAGGCTACACAGATTCAGTCTTCAAAAGTCCTACAGATCTATCTGTGTTCAGGAAGGAGTGAGCACGTCTGACTCCTGCTACCAGTGCTGCCAGACTGTGGCTCCCTGCTCAGTTAACAGAGAGGTGTTGGGGCAGTGCTCAAAACATCCCTGGAAATACCTGCATCTTCCCACTGCCTGTGCAAGGAGCCAGGATGTGGCAGCTCTGGGCTGTGGAAGATCTGGATGGACCAATGTTCCTACATAGAACAGCAATTTTTGTGCTCTTACTTAGTGTGCAAACTCTTCGGGACAGCCAACACTGCTTATGGTGCCAAGTGCAGCACACCTCTCCCTTCCCTTGTAAAACAAACAATAAACACGCCTTCTGGCAGGGGACCATCTGTCTCTGTCCTTTCCCTCCTTCGGAAGAAGCTGCTTCCATGGCTTTGTGCAATAGCTTCCTTTATCTTCCATCTCACCGTGGCTCAGTGGCTGTGCCACATTGGGCAGCCATGGATAGCTCTGTTCCTTCTTGTGGGTAGCTTCCTACAGCAGAACAGAGGAGAGCAGGAGAGGCCATGGCCCACAGTCAGTGCAGCCTTTTCATCCCAGGACAGAGCAGAAAACGCAGTCAATCGAGTTGTTGTTTTTGTTTTTAACACAGCACAATCGTTCGGTCTGTCACGAGCAAATGCAAGTCGAGGGAGGGCACTGACAAATGAATGCAAGGCACAGGGATCAGTGAGCCGTGTGTTCTCTCGAGGCTGGGCCTTGATTTGTGAGCAGGATTGACTCACAAGGGAAAGGCTGATATGGGTCTTGCCCTTATGCAAACACAGCCTGTCCCGTGGCTGCTGCAGCAGAGCTGAGCTGCTCGGGGAGCACTGGCCATGCCCTGTGGGACAGCCAGCTCTGTTAGGATACAGCTCCATGTCTTCATGTACGTTGGTTTGGGATTTGATTTGCTTTAGGAGGTTGCTGTGTAAACAAGCTGGGTTCAGAAGTTGTTTCTGGAGCAAAAGCTCAGCAGTAGGAACAGGGGGCATAGCTAAGGGTGGTCCTCTTTTCTTTTCTCTGCTGGAAGATATGAGGACGGATGGGAGACCTCCACGCACGAGAGAGGCACCAAAACCATCTCAAATGTTCCCAGACACCCTTGTATGGGCAACCTGAAACCTACCTCTTCCCCATACAGGCAGCAGAGCTTAGGAATCTGCAGAGCTACCTGTAAAATAGACATCTAGGTCACGGACTGGGTCGCTCCATGTGCTCTGCTGACTGTGCTGGCTGTGTCTCCACTGACCTTCATGGAGCTGAGGGCCTGGTGCCCTGCCCTGAGATACCTGAGATACCTGTCTTAATGTAGACCTGAATCTCGTCCTGAAGAAGAAAGGTTACATTCCCTGGACTCCCAGTGCCCCGGGGCCAGGAACCTGCCCTGACCTCCAGCCACTGGTCCAGGAGGTCTCCTGGAGGGCCGCTGTTGTCTCCTCCTGTCACAGGAGAGGGGAAGGCTTAGACAAAGTTTTAAAAAGCAGAGCCTTGCCAGTGAGTCTCGAGGTGCAGAAAGGATTCCCTTGCTTTCTAAACTCCTTCTCAGGGAAGGGTTAAGGTCCAGCTGAATCCCATCTTAGCCCCAGACTGCGTTAACAGTTTAAAGGAATTATAGAGGTGTGATTAAACCGCTTTGTCCCACAGGTTTTAATGAAGGCAAAACAGAAATTGATTTATATAAATGAATTACTTATTATGACAAATTAACAAACAGGTGAACAGACAAAAGATCCTAATCAGAATTATTTACTATGCAGTGTGAAAGCAAAAAAAAAAAAAAAAAAAAAAAAAAAAAAAAAAAAAAAAAAAAAAAACAAACCAAAAAAAACCCCAAAACTCAAAATCTACTAGTAAAGTGTTATATAACAAAGTAATATAGTGCACTGTAAAACAATTATATTAAAGCAATTGTATCGAAGCTAGCAAAAGAAACAATCATTAAGTAGAGATTGATATAACTCACCATATGGGATAGCGGGCAGATCTCTCTCTTTCTCTTAACCCCTGGGGAGTAACCATGAAGAGGCATCCCTGCTTCACAGGGGAGGCTCCACACTTCAAGGAAGTATGTGGAAGAATTTGCTATATGGAAGTTTTATAGCTGTGATGATGGACTGGTAGTCACAGATTTACAAGCTCGCAGACTCGCTTATCTGTCACATCTTGTTTCAAAAAAGGATGCATATTCTAAGTCTGGTGAATCAGGATGGTTTTAGCATAATTTAACACCAAGACAGTGACCTGAGCCTGGTGCCAGCAGCTGAACTTGCGTGGTAGCTTGCATGATGGCCTGCATGATGGCTTGCACAGTATGCACTATTGGATTTTAGGTCTGTCCAGGGTGGACTATCCTGCCACACCTCCATCCCTCATGCCATGGTGGGAACAAAGCAGTACTGAGGTCAAGTCCAGCACTCTGGTGAATCCTTTCTGCCTATTCACATTGGAGGAAAATAATCCCCCACCAAAACAGCAGCATCCTATCCAATCTTTCCTGGGCCCCCCATGAGCATGGATAGCCTGGGAATGGGGGTTCATCCCACTTAACTGTTGATAGTCATCAGAGAGAAAAAGACACATCGAGGTGTGAGTGATATGTATTAAACCTCCAGTGAGTCAGAGGAGCCCAGCTGACCAGCACACCTACTGCTGTATCCAATTATATGGTTATTTTGGTTTTTCTTCTTCCTTTGCCTTCCAGCTCAGACCGCAGGATGACAGACGGTGACACAAATCTCCCAACCATCGAGAGGAAGCTGGGACTGCAGATATGGGGCATAGAGGTATGACAAGAGGCAGTGATGGCACATGTCCTCTGCATGTCTGGGGGGGGTGTTTTATGGAAGAGGTATTCTTGAAGTAATCTGTGTGGGAAAAGAGGGTCTTACAGATAAGATACAGTGGGAAATAGAAGACCCAATATCTCCCTATGAAACTTTCCACATGTTATTGTTTTGGTTTCCTGCTCTGTAAAACGGGGATGATAACATTGACTAAGGAAACAGGAATGTGGTGGGACTGAAACTCTTCCTCCAGAACCAGAGGCCTTTCTTGCTTCTTTTGGGAACCAATACAAGACTGCTTTAGCACACCAGAAATTCCCTGTTTCGCCAAGAAGATGGGTTATCCGTAGGTAGCCTTAGTTAATACCAGCAGCTGCCACGGGGAAGACACTTATTTTTGTGACAAAGGCATTCCATGGTGCCTCTTTTTACTTCATTCTTGTCTTCCTTACTCTGGGTCACTGCAAGGAGAAATCCTGCAACCTCTGAGTTCACCTTCTGCTTGTGGAGGTGTTTGATTTTGGATTGGAGCTGGACTGTGCTCAATTCTGCCTCTCTCTGGCCCAGTTCACCAAGAACATTGGAACCATTAATCTGCAATGAGAGTGGGTATAGACTGAGGTGCAAAGTCCACTCAGGGGAACAGTGGGAAGGGGATCCAACACACATTTCAAAATGGGAGTTCCAACTGTGTTCCAAATATCACAATCTTTGCCTTTCCATTTCTCTCCAAAGCACTGCACTAAGTTGCTTTCCAGAGGATCTGTAATTAGAGCCATGTGGGTTCGCAAGGGTCAAGCTGGTATGCTGGGAAACAAGTCAGGACACCAGAAGAATGCATATCTCTAATTTCAGGGAACCACAGGGCCAGTTCCAGCCCAGGAGCTGAGCGTGGACTAGTGGGTGGCACATCCAGGCACCTGCGCTGGGCAGGCATGGCTGGATAATTATGCACTTGAGCCAGAGGAAGTGTGCAATTAGGGTCTGGAGGGGTGAGGGGCACATCAGTGTCCTCAATTCTGCCTTTCCTCAGCACTGCTGGTTCATCCTTCTCCAAACCCTGATTGTCACCTGAGTGTTTTGGGCACCTCAGTTGTCCTGTTTCACACACATCAGCTTCTGGCCCTTAAGTTCCAGCAATGACCCAAACACTGATTTCCTTACAGAATATGAAGATGGTTCCTGTACCTGAAAAGGCTTATGGGACCTTTTTTGAAGGAGACTGTTACATCATTCTGCATGTAAGTAAGACTAGTAAACACTGGTCTGTGTTAGGCAGCTGGTCCAACCCTTTTTCTTTAGCTCTGACTTGGTTCCTAGGTACCCTCTCTGATGGCAAAAGCACTGTGGGTTAAAGTGGTTGTGCACCTGTGTTCACCATCTAATCATGGATATGAACTGAATGTGGCTGTTGCAACAACACTGTCTGTTTAGTAAACCAGAAGTCCGGGGGAACCATTAACTTAGCAGTTCATTAAAAGTGTTTATCTTCTAATCAACTCAGTCATGCCCAGGCATGGAAGAATGGCCAGTGCATTCCTGGCAAACTGAATCAAGGCCCACATTTGCATGATTTATGGGAGTCTTCTGGGGATGTGAGAGGTGGCCAGCTGGAGGGTCTCATTTTTAGCAGGTGATGTGAGATATGAAGGTGTTCCATGTCGTGTGTCATGTAAGCAGCAGAGAGGCTCTACAGCCCTTCTCATGTCCCCATTAGGACATGTCATCAGTCCCACACAAATTTGGTCCAGACCCGCTTGCAACCAACTGAACCCAGGTTAGGCAGAAGCATGAGGGACTTCTGAGAACCAGCCCTGCTCTGTGGGCTGTGCAAACTGCCTTGTGTTCCCGAAGTTCGGTGGGAGGATGATGTGTTACACCCACCTCCTAGGATTCCTTCCAAATCTCTTCATCTGCACAGAGCAATCCAGATCCCATTGTATCAAAAAAACATCCACATGGTGGAAACCAGAAGCATTTCCCACTTCCTGGGTCTGAGTGTCCCTCCTGCAAACATCCCTTGTCAGTGAAGAGACAGCAACGCCTCCACTATCCCACAATAACCAAGTGCACATCCGCCGTATGTCAGGCTGGGATGGACCCACAGGATGATCTCCTGCTCAAATTCACCATGCACATGCCTTTATGATACCTTTTGAGTGCTAAATCGATTTGATTGCAGCCACCCAAAGACATGCTTAGAGCAGGATATGGGTGTCCTTGCAAGGAGTTGTCAGTATAAATATGGATTTTGATGCTCACAGGCTCAGCTTCTGTTGCAACAGCTTCCCCAGGTAGAAGAGCCCTTAATTAGCCCAATACCCTCCTTTGCCCCTGAAGACAGGAAGGTAAAAATAGTCATCTGTGAATTCTGCTTCTTCACTGGAATCTCTCCAAATAAGGGTTGTCCTCAGGACAATGGGACTTTGATCGTCTTCAATAGCAATGTATTGAACGGAGCAATTTTTCCGCAAATTAATTATCTATGCCTGAGGAACTGAGTTGTATTTTATTTAAGTTCTTCTGCTGTGTTTCACTGTGTGCACAAAGCAAATAAACAGAACTCGGTGTCAAATCCAGCTTACAAAATGAGCTTTTATTGCCTTTCCCAGGCGTCCACGATGGGGTTTAACACAGTAGGCGCTGAAAAATAACTGGCACAGCTCATGTAACACTAAGCACACCTGTTCCTCAGCCCCCTTGCCTCCTTTTTCTAGGCTGTTGGGTTTTTCTGTAATAAGATGAATCTCAGCATGCACACACCAGCTCAGCTTCGTTTGGAGTTATGTCTGTTTTGCAAGTCAGCAGGAATTCCGATGCAGTTTGTGTTACTACGTCGTGTGATACATGAGAAAGACAACAGGAAAGAAAGGGTAGTATCTCCAGGCAAATAAATAGGAGTGTGCATTACATTTCAAAAGGTGATCCATGAGAAGAATCTGCTCTAAGTTTTAGTATAAAACTCCACAAAAGTGGGACAGGTTGAACGCATTAATTTTTGTAATTGCACAGGTCCTCAATTTTCCTCAATAAAGAACTATGAAAGAATATCAGACAGAAACATCCTTCGGTTCAATATGTACCCAAAATCCATAAATGCTCTCCTAGTTAAGGAGAGCTCCAGGTTGAGCTCCCAGGGAATATCTGAGGCTCCATCCTCTCTCCCCTTGCCCAGGAGAAGGGCACAAGTAGGAAAGAGCTCTGTGGTCACTTGGTTCTGTCAGGTCTCCCTGGCCAGTGATATTTGAGACACACATATGTGGACTGTGAGTTCATCCTGACTTGTCTTTCCCACCTCTCCCAGACCAAAAGAACCTCTCGTGGCACCGCTGTGGATTTGCACTACTGGATTGGGAAGGATTCCTCCCAGGATGAGCAGGGGGCTGCAGCCGTGTACGTCACCCAGCTGGACAACGCGCTCGGGGGGAGCCCTGTGCAGCACCGGGAGGTCCAGGGACATGAGTCTGAGACCTTCCAGAGCTATTTCCGCAACGGCATCATGTGAGTAGCTCAAAATACCCTGCAACGAGGTGGGTTGTGGCTTTTCTACATCTCAGAGACATCAGCATTTCAAAAAAACCTGAATAAAAGGGTATCGGCACCAAAACTGGTTAAAATTCAGAACAAAAGTTTCCCGTTTTCAAACAATTGTTTGTAACATTGAGTCTGGAATCGTGTCTCTACTGGTCATTTTCCCAGATATTTTCAGTAATTGCATCTTAACCTCCCTCTTGTTCACCCTGGGGTCTTCCTTCCTCTCCTCCTCGCATTTTGGATTAAAGTGCCCATTCAGGGCACTTCAGACTAATATCCACCTTGAAGTGAAGTGCTGATTTGGCTCATACTGGGAGTAATACTCCTGCAGTGGAAGGAAAGTTTGACTCTGAACTTCTGTAATCTAAAAGAATCTAATCTTGTGGTCTCTGTTCATGCTGGGGTTGTTGGAAGAACTCCAATAGCTCTCCTCCAGAAGGGTCTTCTTTGGCAATAAACAGCCTAAGTGCCTTGATTTTAAACAGCTGAAAAAAATTCAGATGAAAACCCATCCTGAGTCAATACCTCCATCCCAGTCTGGCTTTTGAGATACCTCTGCTTTGTGCATTTCTACAACCTCTCATGAGTTTCCTCAGAACTTTTCTGAGACAGAAAAGGTCTTTTAACCTCGTCTAGGAGTAAGGAACAATGAAGGACTGAAATTCAGACCTTCATAAACAGTCTATTTGGAAACCTGTCTGCCTCTGAAATAATTATAATTTGGACTTCGTCTTGGTCTAAACCACATCCCCATGGTCAACCAGGAAGTCTGAGGCAGAATGAGAAATTAAAGCAAGCTCTTCCCTTTCCACATCTTGGCAGGTGGACTAATAACCAGAGCATCCTTCTGTGGATATCTTAAACAAGTCTAAAATGCTGTGAATCACTCACATGGCTGACCATATTTGCCAGTCTCTCCCAAGCTGTGATAAAATACATATATTACCCACATGGCAAAAACTATAAACAGCAATTGTCTCTTTTTCTCCCATAAATGGCAATGACATCATGTCAATTATTATTGTAGCATGAACAATGGATCTGTTTTCTAAAAGGGTCTAGCATATGTGGAAGTGGGTTAGACTTGTCCAAAATCCATTATAAAGGCTCTGGGGCTTCCCTGGGGAGTTGTGTCCTGTCAAGGTGTGAAAGTTGCACAGAAGGGAGGGGATGTCATCATGCAGTGATGTGATGCAGTGCTAACAGTGGCTGTTGCAAGGTGTGTGTTCAAAGATGGAAGAAAGAATTTGGGGGATAAAGTCTGAGAGAAAGACAGAGCCCTGTACCTGTTTAATATTTTGTTCTGCTTATGGCAACAGTTTCCTATCTAAGTTACTTTTAATAGAATAACTATTTTGGAGAAAACCAAATATTAACAGAAAGTTTGTTTTCTGCAAAGTCTGCTTCATATTTTAATCAAAAGTTTATGGAATATTTCAATTTTGAGTTGCCAGTGCCATGGTTTTAATAGGATTTTCAGTTTGGTTGTGTTATGCTACCACTGCCAGCCCTCACCTACCTGTTGATCTTCTCCCAGGATGTTTACTGGTTGGAATCAATGATCTTAGAAGTCTTGTCCAGTCCAAACAATTCTATGAGTCTATAATTCCATGCAGAGCAGCAACACAGGACCCATAAGAGGGAGATGGACACTGTGAGAAGTCATGGTCTGACCACACAGCATTTCACAGTCCATTTTTTAGGACTTTGAGGTTATTTTTGCTCTAGATTTTTTAGTTGTCACCAAATGTTGGGATGTTCTGAGAGGACAGAGGGGAAGGTGCTTTCTAACCAGCTCTAACTCTTTATTCTCTGCTACAAAACAGCTACAAGAAGGGAGGAGTGGCTTCAGGATTTAAGCATGTGGAGACCAACATGTACAACATCAAGCGCCTTCTCCATGTCAAGGGGAAGAAGCACGTGTCAGCCACAGAGGTAAGAAGAAAACCCTTCTCTTCTTATGGATCATTTCTCATTGCCTCTCCTCCTACACCCACTTTCAGCCAGGTTTTCCTGCTGGATATCTCATCCCTGCCCCAAGACTTCTACTCCAGGAGAGTTTTCAAGACCTCACCCAGGGGTTTGGTATTACATGAGAGAAGCCATTGGGCTCAGCCAGTAGCTGAGCGGCAGAAGGATGAGCCTGTCATTGCAAACCTGTTCTTACATCCCAGGGACAGGTTTGCAATGGCTGTGATTTGTCACCTGCAGCTCTTGTCCTCCTCAGCTTACCAAATGGTTCCATTTCCTCGTGACAGGTAGCGCTTTCCTGGGACAGTTTCAATAAGGGTGATGTTTTCTTGCTGGACCTTGGGAAAGTGCTGATTCAGTGGAATGGACCCAGCTGCAGCATTGCTGAGAAATCCAGGGTGAGTACAGGCCAAAGCCACTTAGTTTACTGGTGGTATTTTTCAATACCAGGAGAGAAAAAAAATAGGGAAAAAATGCTCAGTGTTTGTGCAGTGAAAATCTTACTAAGAGCAGCAGCATTGAGATGATTGGATATTAGGAAGAAAATTATTGGATATTAGGAAGAAATTTTTTACAGAGAGAGTAATCAGACACTGGAATGGACTGCCCAGGGAGGTGGTGGATTCACTGTCCCTGGAGGTTTTTAAGATGAGACTGGATGTGGCATCAGTGCCATGGTCTGGTAACCACGGTGGGGTTGGATCAAGGATTGAACCTGATGATCTCAGAGGTCTTTTCCAACCTGGTTGATTCTATGATTCTATAAACAGAGAAAATAATGATAAAACTTCTACTTCCTCATCTGCTCGTTTTAGAGGCCCATGGAAGTGCTTTCTTCTGGTTCAGACCTCAGCTTGGTTTCACAGGCAATTGTGGGCCCATCATTAGCTCTCTCCCCAGAAAGTCATCCAGGTGCCTCTGGGGAGGTCTATTTCCATCCCTCTGTGCCCTATAGTTTGCATGCTGTAGGATTAGAAAGTCAGCAACACCAGCAGGTTTAGCTGCAGTGACTACCCCCAGGGCAGATTAGTTTTAATTTTTTGTTTACAGCATCACAGGGAATTCCAGCTTGGTCAGTATGAGACAAGTAGGAATACATAACCCAGGTGCTCATAGGTCAGATCCATAGCTCTTGAGGCACTTTGCAAAGGGATCATTATCCTTATTTTACTGATGGAGGAACCAAGATACAGAGATGTAACACAGCAAGATATATCAGTGGGCCATCAGCAAGGCTGGTGGCCAAACTCATAGCTTGTCATTATAACATTTAAAGGCAGGTGGGTCTGCTCTGCACGTGGTGTCCCCTGATGAGCTAAGAGAGGGGGAAGCTTCACAGGGAATGTGGTTTTTCAGGGCTCCGTGGCTAAAGGAGAAGATCCTGTGGGTAATGTAAAAGAGATAAAGCAACGCTGAACAGAGGAGGGGGAGCAGGTAGAGGGATGGCCACTGGGTTCATCTCAGGCCGCGAGCAGGTGATTTCCCATGTCTAATAAACAGAGGCACCTTTCAAAGCTGTTGCAGTAAGAGTCGTGGGGAAAAAAATAATTTAATGGAAAATGGGGATTTCAGCCTAATTAGTTGCTTGACATTTCATGCTGCTTTTTTCACAGAAGACATCCGTGTTTTTTGAACACTTGAAGCATTTAAATGTAAAATGTCACTGTGGGGCACCCAGGGTCCTGCAGCTCTGCAGCATCCTGCCTCACTGTCCTCAGCATGTGTGTGCATCTCTCTCCCAGACCATCCCACAAGACCATTGGACCTGCTGATGTACAGTCACACACACGGGCAACACCTGCTGTGGCTCCCACACGCCTGTGCCCTGTGGGAGCAACATCTAGCGACTATAATAAGCAATATTTTCCTAAGAGTTAGTTAATAATCAGACACTACAGACACATCTGCTTTCTTAATAGCTAAATTTGGAGGGCACTAGAAGCTTCAGAGAGCTGTGGTGATGTGGCTTGGGCTTAGTCTTTGCTCCAGGTCTGGGGCAGTGAGTTTGTTGTCTGTGTCAGGACTTACCCCTCTGATCCGTGTGCAGGGTCTGGCGCTGGCTCGTAGCATCAGGGACAGCGAGAGGGGCGGCCGTGCTCAGATTGGCATCATTGACAACGAGAAGGACTCCCCAGACCTGATGCAGATCATGAGGATGGTGCTGGGAGAGAGGCGTGGGGAGCTCCGAGATGCCATCCCGGACACGAAGGCGGATGAGCTGCAGAAAGCGAACGTCCGGCTCTACCAGTAAGTCCAGGGATGTGCCCCAAACCCTTTCCTTCCTCACAGCAAGCACTGTGAAGGCTGACTCTGCTCGGTGACTGTGTCTTTCAGCGTCTATGAGAAGGACAATGACCTGGTGGTACAGGAGATCGCCACCCGGCCCCTGACACAGGATCTGCTCCAGCACGAGGTGAGAGAAAGCCAGAGGCTTTTACAGAGGGAAAAGGGTGCTGTGGCTCGCTTTGTTTTCAGCTGAGCACCTGTTTCAGTGGGATACCCTGTTTCCTTCCATCATTAGAACAGGTCAGCCCCACTCAGGGACATCATTAGGGACAGCTCAGCAGCCAGAGATAGGTGGTGCATTGGAGCTGTTCCAACCGGAGACGGCAAATTGATGCTCTCAGCCAAGGATTATATTGGCTTGGTAATCAGAGTGAAGGAGAGCTGCCTACCAGGAGTAAATTCCAGGTGGAATAAAAGCTTCTTAATACCTGATGTTCAGGGATAGCCTTCCCTCTGCTGAATCCAGAGCAGACAAATACTCTGCTTAGAAAACCAGGGAGATATATTTTCCTGCTGTAGCAAGTGGCTGGTGTCAGTCACCCACCCTGGAAGGAGATTTCTTACAGACCCTCTGTGCAAACGCTTTCAGAAGACAGAGACTATCCTTCTGACTAAAATTTGGTAGAGAACTGCTCACCCTTAATTCTCTGCAGTACAAACCAGCCTATTCCAAAACATGATTGTGCTGCGAGGTTCCCCCTCCCTCATTCCCCCTGGTGTCAGCCTTGTTAAATCTCAGTCTCCCTTTGCAGACATACAGACCCTTCATTTTTCTTTTCAAAGTTCAGTCTGAAAAATGAGAAGCCTTTGGTCACACAGCGTGTTTGGAGCACCAGCACTCTGCAGATGGGCTGCTCAGCAGACATCTCATCCCCTTTGGGTTTGGGATTCTGCTGCCTTCACAGCAATGCAACACTTTTGGCTCCAGATCAGGGACACAAAATAGTCAAGCAGAAGAGGTTTACTGGACTTTTCCTGCTCCTTTAGTAGCAGATTTGGCATAAACAAGCACCACCAGCAGCAGTGCTGAAGCACAGCAGGCTGAGGGTGATATTTCAGCATGTACCTCTCCTGCTGCTCCCTTTTAGGGCTGGTGTTTCTGTTGGTCTGAGAACATCACCTGTGAGACAGTTATAGCCAGCTTGGAGCAACACCTAAAAAAATACATATTTTAACTCATTACAATTAGAAGTCATCTGGATCAGGTGTGCTTGCAAAGTCAGTGTACCTGTGAACCCCTGCCCTGTGGGGTTGGTGGTAGCTGTAGTCCATTTATGAACCACAACAAATCCATCCTCTGTTACCTCTGCTAATGGTTGCACCAGGGTTAGGGCTCTGCAAGGCAGGGAAATGAGCCAGATCTGCATCTAACCCAAATCTTCAAGAAGGATCCAGCCTGAGCAGGCTACAAATGATGACCTTTGCCTGCGCAGAGCTTTTCACGTCTGTTTTTTTCTGTTTCCTGTTTTTCACGTTTCACCTCAGGACTGCTACATTTTAGACCAAGGTGGTTTCAAAATTTACGTCTGGAGAGGAAAAGCCTCCAGCCCAGAAGAGAAAAAAGCAGCCTTCACCCGAGCTGTGGTGAGTTGTAATACTGTGCAAACAATGTCGTGGGAGGTTATTATGTGCTGATCTGGATCTGGCCACTAATTACAATTAAGTGTAGGTCTTGGGGAGCTGGCCTGTGTAATAACAGAGACAGAATTTATGTGTCTAAGGGAGGCATGATGACGCAAACACAAGATTGTTAGTCATCAAATTGTGCTAGGACTAAAACCTGACACTAACACTAGGAAGAAATTGGTTAAAGAAAAAAAGTATCGAAGAGAATACTTTGTTGCGTGGTAAATAGTGAACTTCTGGAATTTGTTGATTCAAGAGATGGTGGAGTCAGAGAATATCAGCAGAGTTGAGATGGGATTAGACAAATTCATGGTCAAAAGGTGCATGGAAAGATATTAAAGGGGTTCTTATATCCTCTCTGAGATCCATGGCCCAATATTGTGGATGCTGGGGAGAGAGAAGGGGTCACACTGGAGGACATGAGCCACTAAGCTCATGTTTGCTCACTGAACAGCATTTCCTAGTGCCACTGTCCCAGGCAGCACAGAACACTGCTCTGACCCCAGAAGGCATCTCCTGTGTTCCAACCAAGAGTAGTGCCTTGGGCAAGTCATCGGGGAACTCCCTTACTTGGAGTCTCTGGAAAAGCCAGACCTTTTATGTATAGGCCTCATCTGCAATTCCATTACAGCTAACAACTGTTCCACAGCACCAGTGGGGCTGGGCCCAGGTTCTGTGTGTGAATTTGGAGGTGATATGGAGCTCTTCCACTGGGTAGAGAGAGATCTGCCATTAGCAGCTGTTAATTCAAATTGGTCAACCTGAGGCAAGACCAGGGCTCATGACAGGGTAGAACACACCAGCCTAGCACCCTGGCTCCTCCAGATGAGCTGCCATGCGGTTATTTTCTGGCAGATCATGCCTCAAACTCCTCCTCTCAGAAAAAAATAGCCTTGAGGGAGCCTGAGCAAGTAAGACATTTGGTATTTTTTTACAAGTTGGCATGTTGAAGTGAAGGCTACAAAGAAACTTCGCTTTTGATTATCTGTTTACTTATGGGAAGACCATAAATGGCTTCATCTTAAATGAGATCTAACCAGGAGATACTGAACCTCATGGTTCCACATTTAATAAGGTCCTACCTGGAGACACCCAGCTTCAATACAGGTTGCACCTATTGTCTCAGAGAAGAAAAGCTTAAAAAAACTTTGCCTCAGGACTTGTTTCACTGTCCTCTGTGCTCCTTAACTCAAGCCCTTTTTAGTAGGCAATGAGCTCTGCAAACTCTGGCCCTGAGCTACACACACAGAACAAAAGATATCTCTCTCTCAGTGTGGCAGGTGGGAGGGTTGGGAGGACCATCTGCTCTGCTTTTCCCTGGGGGTAGTGCATGTCTGCAGTATTTACAGCAGAAGATGAATGCTCAGAAAGCCACAGTCAGGCTCCTTCCCTGAACCACGGCTGTCAGCACTGCACGTTTGGTCATCCTAGAGCCTGCTGAGATAAACACAAGAGCAGTTCCCAAAACTGAACAAGGATTTTGGCATTGTGGGAGAACACAGACAATTTTCTTCCTTCTCTTGTGTCTTCTTGTATCAAGCACCTCTGTTGAAGCGGTCTTTTAACTCAGTAGTAGCACTATTGCAAAGAAATAATGTGGGTTTAGGGGGGGAAAAATTAAGAAAAAAGATTTTTAAGTGTTTAGTCCCTCCAGAACACACCTCTGGGGTGCTGAGCTGCTTCCATCCCTTCTCTCCCTTGGCATACATGCTCTCTGTCATGTACCAATCTTCCTGGTTTGGAGAGGGACAAAAAGTTTGGAGAAAAGCAAAGAACTGAACTAGGCTCTTGGATCATGGGTACACGCCATCACTGCTCCTTCCCCTCCACTCCCAGATCCATCACCAGAAGCCATCTACGGAGCTGTCTGAGATAGAGGAGGAGGCTTTCCATTACACCCATTGAGTGAGATTTTCTTCAAGACTAAGGTGCCGTGTAGAGATTAATTTTAGGATGTGATCCAAGTGGTCAGGCTGTAGGGGTAGGGTTCAGTGCTCTAAAGACAGAAATAAACATGGATACTACAGTGAGAGCTTGCAGTCACCTCTGTTTGCAACTCTGAATGCAAGTTTTGGGGTGAATCCTGCCCTTGGTCAAACCACTGTGTTCAGTGAGGGACATTCCCTCTTCAGGCTGGTTTGGGTCCACATCCCTCTTCTCATGTCTGTAAAAAGCTTGCTGTGTCCCCACTGATGACCTTTCTCAACCCCACCAGGGTTTTATCCAAGCCAAAGGCTATCCTTCATCCACCAACGTGGAAGTGATCAATGACGGGGCGGAGTCAGCCATGTTCAAACAGCTCTTCCAGAGGTGGACGGAAAAGAACGAAACACAGGGGCTGGGAAAAGTCTACACTACTGGAAAAATTGGTGAGCACATTGGTCCTGCATTTGTCTTTCCTACCTGTGCTAAGCAGCAGCTGAGGGAACATCGTTCACACTGTCTCCTGCCTTCAGTATCTTGAAAATCTGGTGCACATTCTTCCCGTGCCTCGTGTCTTCCATCTTCTGCAGCAGATGCAGAGGATTCGTCAACTGACATTCAGAGCTGCTGAGGCTTCTTGTATGAGCCAACCTGCCACTTATTCTAAGTGTAAATGTTGGCAGACGGTCACTCCCCTCTGAAAATCATGCGCAAAATTTCACACTTGCAGGACATCCCCGTTTTCATTGTGAAGGACTAATGCTGACCCTGGTAAGGAACCGCTGAACAACATTCTGATTTCGTTTGCACTGGCATCTATCCAAGACTCTCCTGATGTCAGTGGATTGATGCTGTATTTACACGGGGTGTAAACGATGTATTTATCACACTGCTGAAGTGAATATTACAATGCATTAACCCCAGAGAGCAAACAGTACCAAAGAGAAGGAACTTATTGATGAGTGATGGGAAGATGACAGTGATGCTGAACGTCTCCATCAATAACAGCTTGAGAGCCACGAATCTTTTTCCCTTCCAAGTTCTCTCTTTTCTCTCCACCTCTGTTTCTTTCTGTGCTGTCCATAAATACTCTGTCTCTTTTATCACAAGCTGGAGGAATGTAGGCATTTTATTTCTGAAACCAATGTTTTGAAAGGAGGAAAATATTTATAGTTTTGGAGAACAATTATCAGTTTTCAGTCAGGAGACAACTAATTTTTACCAGCCAGTCATCACTGGAACACACTATCAGGCCAATTCCAGCCTGTAACAGGTCAGCACTGGAGTATGTGAGCTCTTGCATATTCAAAAATCAACACTGGTTTATACAGGTGGCTTCTCGCAACCCTGGACCAGTTTTTTCTTGCATGTATGACAGTTGTGCGTGAGGGTGATGTGGAGGGTTTATCTGTTATTGTGCATTCACTGGGTTCTTGTTTTTGTTCTGCTGGTGCACACAGCCAAGGTGGAGCAGGTGAAGTTTGACACCACTCAGCTCCACGCCAGGCCAGAGCTGGCTGCTGAGCAGAGGATGGTCGATGACGCCTCCGGGGAGATCGAGGTGAGAGAGCTCCTTTTTCTGACAGAGGGTGCAATGATCAGTGTGTTACCAAACATCACTTGGCCTAGATAAGGGGAAACTAAGGATAGACCTCATGGCAGTCTACAGCTTCCTCACAAGGGGAAGAGGAAGGGCGGGCACTGATCTCTTCTCTCTGGTGACCAGTGACAGGAGCTGAGGGAATAGCCTGAAGCTTCAGGAGTCTGTTAGCAACAGGGCTGTGCTCTGTCTTCACCTTGACTCCGCTACTGCTCACCAAGATGTTTCTTTTACCAGGTGTGGAGGATTGAGGACTTGCAAATGCAGCCAGTGAATCCCAAGACATACGGGCAGTTCTACGGGGGCGATTGCTACCTGGTGCTGTACACCTACCTGAGATCAGGCAGGCCCCACTATGTCCTCTACATGTGGCAGGTAGGTCAAACCAGAGCAGAAGGGACTTTCCTGTGTCTGCTATAGAAGCCTAAAGCTGAAGGAAGCAGTTGCACAGAAAAATCCCAACCCAAGCATCCAGAAGAATTCAGGTACCCTTTGCTTATCAGTTGTCCATTTCAAATGTCTCAAGCTGTGCTTTGTAGGCAGCATGGACACTGATCCCAGGCTGGCATCAGGCTGAGAGCCAGCAAAGTCAGAGTGAAGGATTATGGGGCTTACAATGCTCAGGTCAAACTTTGGAGTCAACTCCAGGAACTGAGGCTTTAAGGGAGAGGTAATGTGGGTATATGAACATCTCTGCTTTCCTTTTTTAAATATTATTTCCCTCCCGTGGAATGCAGAAAGAAACTTGAAAAATGGGATGTTAAAGTCTGCAAAACCAGAATGTGAGGGAAATTTAAATATCTGGAAGTTTTAACTCTGACATTCCACGCTTGGAACTGGCAAGATGTTCCGTTGTGTCACCTCTAATCCCACGTGTCACCTCTCTGTTCCCCAGGGCCGCCACGCCTCTGTGGATGAAATCACTGCCTGTGCCCTCAATGCCATCGAGCTGGACAAGAAATATGGGGACGAGGCCGTGCAGGTGCGGGTGACGATGGGAAAGGAGCCCAGACACTTCCTGGCCATCTTCAAGGGCAAGCTGGTCATCTACGAGGTAACATGGCTTTGTGAGTGTGGGCAAAGGGAAGCACCAGCGATGGCTTGGCAGCTGCAATGGAAATAATCCAGAAAAAAATGGGCTGATACTCAGGAAAGGAGCTTGCCAGGTCTGCACAGGCTGGCAGATGGAACGGTGGAACATTCCTAGTACTTCCCGAGTAGTGTGAACACCGTTTGTGTAAACACAGTCCTGGACTGACCCAGACTCCACTGTCCACCCCTGACCTCCAGCACTGATGCATGTTGTTCTTTCCAACTCTATCCCAAAATACTCTGCAGAGTTAGAATAAGGCAATCACCCTGTGATTTACAGAGAGTGCCATCCAGAGAGGGTCCTCCAAAATATCCTACAGTCATGATTTGACAATTCAAATTGTCCCTCACTGAATTATATCACATTAACTACCAACCCACTTCACTAGCTCCTGTGGCTGCTGACATCTGTGGTGGAGACACTGCAAGTGTCTTTGGAGGAGGGGGATTACCTCAGCTCTCAGTGCTGGTCCCACTGTACAGTTTCCATGGTGGGTGTTGAGCTAAGCTGAGCACAGCTGGAAATCAGAGTCCAGCTGCCTTGCCCACTCTGCATGGCAAATGCTTTACAGAAACTAAGATCTGCTCACATGGAGTTTCAGCATCTTGATGGGAGCTGATCAAGACTCCGTAATCAGGGAGAAATGTGGAAGTTTGCCATGTGGATTTCATTCTGACCTGGGACCAGAATGTGTTTGGATTTCCTCACAGGAGCATGATCCATCATTGCAGCAGTGGGGAAGGGCTGTGAGCACAAAAGCCTTCATTGAATCAGTGGCACCCTGGATCTGTGTGTCCTCCTCACTTCCCAGCACCGTCCTTCCCTCTGTTCCCCTGCAGGGTGGCACCAGCCGGGCTCAGAAAAGCGCTCCCGAGCCAGCGATCCGCCTCTTCCAGGTGAGGGGCACGGATGAGGTGAACACAAAGGCCACAGAGGTGCCAGCCAGAGCCTCCTCCCTCAACTCCAACGATGTCTTCCTGCTGACCACCAGCCAAGTCTGCTACCTGTGGTGTGGGAAGGTGAGGCTGCAGAGACACCAGGGGAGATGGCTGAAGGAAATCTGAAATTGCTGATGTGGGGCTTGGGTCTCCTCCCTCCACTGAGTTGTGGAGGTGAACCCTTGGGGCAGGTGACCAAGGATTGGAGAAATGGTCTCCTTGAGTTGCATCAGGGAAGGTTTAGATTAGATATTATGAGAAACTTCTTCACAAAAGGGGTTGACAGGGAAGTGGGGGAGTTGCCATCCCTGGAAGTATTAAAAAAAATATATGGATGCAGCATGTAAGGACATGGTTTAGTGGTGAACACGGTGGTTTTGGGTTGATGGTTGGACTTGATGATCTTGGAGGTCTTTTCTGACCTTAGTGATTCTGTGGTTCTATGAGAAAGGTGCACCCAGGAGGCTCCAGAGGCTCCATCTGTGGAGGGTCAGCAGGAACACAGCCTTCTCTACAAAGACAACCTATGTTGCGGTTCACCTCACCTTAACTTAGATGTTCATACAGCTCTCAGATGAATAAATCACCCTAGATTTTCCAACTGTAAGAAATAAGCCAGGATGTTCATTTATCCTGTTTTAGTCACACGTTTCAGGATGAGGTGGTGGATCAAACTGAAGCAGAAGGGTTGCTCAGAGCAGTTGTGGCTGCCCCATCCCTGGAGGTGTTCAAGACCAAGTTGGATGGGGATATGAGCAACCTGGTCTAGTGAAAGGTGTCCCTGCCTATGGCAGGGGCTAGGAACAAGATGATCTTTAAGGTACTTTACAATAAAAAACATTTTGGCATTTTGTGACTTTTTCTCTAGGCTGCACTGAATGTCCCTTCAAGGACTAGAAATGGGTTCTGAGTGACCAGCTCAAAAGCCTTCAAGCAGGTCTAAAACTCTCCAGAGGACCAAGCCAGCTTTCCCCCACAGATAAGTTTTGCCAGTGACCCTAATTCCACCTCAATCTTACGTTCTGCACACAGGGATGCAGCGGAGATGAGCGGGAGATGGCAAAGATGGTAGCTGACATCGTTTCCAGACGGGACAAGCACACCATTTTGGAAGGACAAGAGCCGGCAGAGTTCTGGGAAGCTCTGGGAGGCAAAGCACCTTATGCCAGTGAAAAGAGGTAATAGTGACCTGCTTGTTCCTCTGGGCCTCGCCAGGGAACTTTAAACCGGGGATCAAAACTTGGCAGGAAAGTGAGTACTTTGATACTGTGTCCTCACTAAAGGGAGCACAAGGTCAGAATATCACCAAAAGCTTGGTCAGAAACCACACTGAGATGACTCTTCCCTAGATTTTGGTTCAGGCCTTCTGTGTAGTAGGAGCTGTAGATCCAAACCCTGCAGACAAGGATGTGCTACATCCTCCTTTCCCCACAGTAAACCCACCCCATATCTCATCATAAGGCCTACAGGAACCACATGCTCCATTTCCAGCCATCATTGGGGAAGCCCCAGAAGATTCATGAGACTAAAGCCTGCCTCTGAACAACCTGGATTTCTCCAGCCTTCTGGGCAGGTGATGGGTTCCTTTGCAACCAGGTGATCTGATGTGGGTTTCACCTGACATCAGGTTCATCTCCACAATGAGAGAAGGGCTCTGCTTTTGCCCTTTTTGGGTGGAGAAACAGTTAGCTTTAAAAATCATTAAAATGGTCCAAGAATACCCTTGAGACCTGACTTTCAGGACCTCAGATGGCTGTTGCAATGTTCTGCCCCTTCCTCCAAGGCCACGCCAAGTAGCATCAGGGCCCTGCAGGAGGCCACGAGGGAAAAATTTCTGTCTCTCTCGGTTTTTCTTCCCCTGCCATGCGTGAGGAAGGTTCCAAGAGCAGATCACACACTATCAACCTCGCCTCTTCGAGTGCTCCAACCAGACGGGCCGGTTCATCATGACAGAGGTGGTGGGCTTCTGCCAGGAGGACCTGGATGAAGATGATGTCATGCTGCTGGACACATGGGAAGAGGTCAGCACAGGTCCCGGTCCCTTTCTCCCCAGATGTATTTTCAAACAGGTTATGGTTTTAATTGGTTTGAATCCATCACTCAGTGTGAAACCAAGGTCCCTCTCACCCAGGGACAGCACAGGTGAGGGAGGCAGCATTGCCAGACCTCTTTCAGAAAAGTGAAAACTGAGACACTTGGTCCATGCCTTCCTCCAAGGTGAGAAGAGCTGGACCTGCTCTGGTCTTTTCCAGCTTATACAAGGAGGTGGCACCCAAAAACACTCCCCCTCACTTCCCAGCACCTGTGGTGATGACTTGCTTTATGGTATGGAAAGCTGTCTCCAGGAGTTTTCTTTCTGAAGTGGATCTATGGAAGGACAGGGTTCAGATACCTTGAAACACGCCAGAGCTGTTACCTGAAATATTTATGCTTTGTGCCCGTCTCAGAAGCAAAATCTTTCTTGGCTGGAATTAAATCTGGAATCAAAGTCACAAGGGACTATTGGGAAAGCACGTTTCCAATCTTATCTCTGCTGCCATTGGCAGGGGAGAACAAACAACCCTATCTGCACAGGTCTCAAGGACTCACTGAGCTCCAGCACCTTCTCTCCTTGCAGATTTTCCTTTGGGTTGGCAAAGCCTCCAACGAATACGAGAGGAAGGAGGCCATTGCCTCAGCTAAGGAGTATCTCAAGACCCATCCGGCAGGGAGAGACTTGGCAACCCCGATAATCCTGGTGAAGCAGGGCTACGAACCCCTCAACTTCACAGGGTGGTTCAACGCTTGGGACCCCTACAAATGGAGCGTAAGTTGCTGGAAAAGCCCTGTGGTGCCCGTGCACACGGGCTCAGCAGTGCTTAAAGGGCATTCTTCTCAGTGGATGTATGATACAAGGAGTGAAACCTCACTAGGACATGTCCTGAGCTTCACAGAGTCACAGAATGGCTTGGGTTGGAAAGGACCTTAAAGCTCACCTAGTTCCAAGCCCCCCCACCGTGGGCAGAGACACGAGTTCCTGGTGCCTGAGCAGCAGATTCCTGGCTTCTGAGCAGCTTCTCCTGACCCTTCATCAGCAAAAAGTGCCCGTTTGGTGAAACTGAGGCTTTTTCAGATATGTGTGCCTGAATTCACAATATTCACATTTTTATTTAAAAAAAGATCATGTTCCAAATCATGTTTGTGATTTCGGCCAAAAAGGGATCGGGGCTGTAAGTGTTAAAATTAAGTTCAGAGTGAAGACAGAAGCTTCCCCCCCCCCATCATAAAGAAAATTGGGGAAAAAAATGTTCATTTCTCAAAATGCAGCCACAGAGTAAAATTTATGACCCAGCTTTAAGGGCAAATTGTGGTGAAATGAAAGATGTGAGCAGACAGGTCTCATGTTCAGGTTTGTGGAATGCCCATCAGAGCCCAGGAGCTCCTGAGCAAGGTCACCCTTGGTCCCTACACATGAGCCTTCCTCTCAAACCCTGATGTACAAATACCAGCTCTTTGCTACATAGAAATGGCAGCCTGCCCCAGGAGGTGCCTGGGAATTAAAAAAGAGTACTTTCTCTCCTCTTTCAAACACATGGGCTTCAAATAGTTTTAGGAGCATAATGTGGAGCAGGGATTTGCTCATGTGGCCCGTGCTTAAAGCCTCACCAGGACCCTGGTTGGTGAGAGGAAGGAGCGATGCACTGGGACGGCGTGGAGGCCCCCAGGACTTCATACTGCAGGAAAACTCTTACAGGGATATTTTATTTCCTGCATCTGGGTTTGCATCTTCTTTCTTAGTGGTAGTAGAGAGCCTGTCTTGACAGCTGGATCTGCACAGATAAGACAGCAACTCCCAGAGCAATGACCCTTAAAACAATGCCGATGCTTAGAACAAAGGTCAAAACTTGTGGATTTGGTTTGTTGGTGTTCTTTTTTTTCTGAGGAACTGCTGAAAAACAAGGATGCAGCTCATAAAATATGTGCCTCTAAAAATATCCCCTGTAGGCAGCTTCAGCAACTACAGACAAGTCATCCAAACTGTTGACATCTCAGAAACATCTGGTGTATGTTCATTGCTCAGTTTTGGGTCTAAATCTGTTTTCTCTGCAGTCCATGTGTTCATGTTGTTTGTTCTTGTTGGGAAACTTTGTTGGATGATTCTGTTAAGAACTGACATCTCCTGGCTGCTTAGGAAAACACAGTCATGAGCTTTGCCAATATATCCAGTATATTCCTTTTTTTTTCCAATAAATGCCAGGTAGCTCATAATACACAGCACCGAATTATAAAAAGTCAGGGTCTGAGGCTTTGAAAAATCCGTCGATTTAGATAAATGATTCAAGGAAGGGGAAAAAAAGGAATAACATTTGATCCCCAATTTTCACGCATTGCAAGATTCATTTAAAATGTAAGAGATTTAAACCCAGCCGTAAATATGATTTCTCTTCATTTGCCCTCTGCTGTCTAAACCCTTTTAAATTTCCTGTTTTCACCTGTTACTGTGAAGCTGAAAAGGCTAAAGTTGTTTTGTTTCTTTGTTTTCAAGGGAAAGTTCAGGCTCTGACATAGTCTCCTGATTCCAGGGGCTGAGGTTTGCAGAGCTGCCACCTCAGTGAGCACCTCTGGACTTTAAAATTCGTCATCTCCTGACCCTGTTAGAGACCAGGAGGATGGGCTAAAGGCAGCCCATGCTTCCTACAACTCTCTTTCCCTTTAGGATGGCAAGTCCTATGAGGAGATGAAGAACAGCTTGGGAGACGTGTCGGCTATATCTGAGATCAAAGTGGTGAGTTGCGTTGGGAACACCTGGAGCACCACCACGTCCCCCAGCCTGCTCTCAGGAAGGAGAGGACATCAGGGTCAGAGCAGGGATGGGGACCTCAGGCCGCCAGGATCAGAGCTGTGCACCTCTGTGGTAAAGCAGATGGAGATGTGATAAATAACACATAAATACACCCAGACCTCCTGGGCCTTTTCCAGACCTGTCCGGAGGCATCTGTGAGCAGAACATTGCCCGGCTGCTTTAATGCAGAACAAACACAGGTGTGTGCAGCTGTAAGAGTGGGCAGTGAAGTGTTGTGTGAGTAGTCGGCAGTGGTGGAGCCCCTGAGACCTCAGGTAAGGGCCCCCTGGTCAAGAAGGGCATAGCCCCGTGGAGTATCCTCCAAAGCACAGAGGAAATGAGGTCCCAGCAGTCCCAAATGCAATTGTCACATGGGTCAGTTCTTCCCTGGGCACGGTCAGGATGAAGGCTGGAAGGAAGTGGCAGGTTTGGATGAGGAGAGATGGCCCATCAAGGATGGGTATGCAGGTAGTTTCGAGGTTTTAGACATGGTAGACATCTAATCTCACCTTCTGTCCTCCCACATGTACCTTCCCCTGATGTTATCTTGAGAAGAATGAGACTGCTGTAAGTATCCTCAGCTATTTCTAAGAGCTCTCATTAGTGTGTGCTTTTAGCAGTCCTAACATCAAGGTGTAGCATTTGTGGAGGTGCTGGACTAATGCTTTAGTGGGGCCTTTCTCCTCACTGCTTTGGAGCTACAGATAGTCTGTGCCAGAAATAGTCCCCCACAACCCCAATGGAGAGAAATATCCTGGGATAATCCCCAACTTACTCTGCCAGAGCATCTTGTCTTGACATGTTTTCCTCCATTTGGCAGGACCTTAACAACATCAGCCTGAACAAGAGGACCCTCAGCGTGACCAACTTGGCCAGTTCAAGCAATCCAAATGCTTCCTCCGAGTATAAATCCCACTTCAACCACAGTGACAGTAACAGCTACAGCAACAGCAGCAACTACAACAGCAACAGCAGCCCTTCCCTGATGCCCAATGGTGAAGGAGTTTACTCCCGAGAGGTGCTGATGAACAGGACGGTGGATGAACTTCCAGAGGGCGTGGATCCCACTAGAAAAGAGGTGACAGCATTGCTGGTTTGATGCCTTTGTAGCTTAACCTGGAGTTTACTCATTGGATAAGTGTAGCAGTACTTTAGAATAAAAAGTCCTGCTTCAGACTCAAGGAGATACTGGCTGGACACACAGGTCTCGTCAAGAGGAGGAGTTTAATGTGAGAAGAAATTCATAGAACCACAGAACGACCTGAGTTGGAAGGGACCTTAAAGATCCCCTAGTTCCAACCTCCCTGCCGTGGACGGGGACACCTTGTGGTGGTTTTACCCTAAAATGAAGTAATTCTATTTTTTATGGTCCAAAAATGAATTTTAAATACCAATTTTTTAAAAAGAAAATATAAAATGCTTTCTTCTGGTAGGGTTGTTTTGCTCTGTCCTTGGAGGAATCTAAAGTAGGATTCCTGTGGGACAAGCTGACACAGCTGAGAACGAAGCCAGGATTTGCATTTTGCTTGGGCTGCAGGTGAATGTTTTCATTAGAAACTCCTTCCAGAAGGGATATTTTTCCTCTTCTTTCTTTTCTTTTTTTTTTTTTTTTTTTTTTTTTTTTTTTTTTTTTTTTTTGTTTGTTTGTTTGTTTGTTTTACTTTTTTTTATTTTGTCAGAAACCTTGTATCTCAGCAATTTGCAGTTTCAGGAGAAATGACACATCTCAGATTTCTGATCAGCCCGAGGATTTTGGCAATGTCTGTAGCTGGGTCCAAGGAAGCTGATGGGAGAGACACAGGGTTGATTCCCTCTACTCCCTGCAACCCATGTCTGACCCATGTCTTGCCCAACACCCACAGCCAGAGACACAAATCTACAGCTGGGCTGTACATGAGCTCTTTCTTCTACCCAAAATGCCAGGAAAAAACTCAGCCTCCGCTTCCCACAGGGTCTTTCTTGGTATTCCTGATGACCCTGCTATCTGCAACCCATCTGTCTTTCCAGCAATGGGAGTGAACATTTCCAATGGAATATTTGAGGAGAGGGAACTTAGTGAGAGGGAGATGCTTTCACTATGAATCACTTGCTAAGAAACCACCCAAAACTTTGGCCAGCAGAACTTCTCTGATGGACTATAAATTGTCCTGGCCACGGAATGATTAGCAGGGACTGAATTCCAGCCACAAGCATGCTAAATCCTCAAAACCAGAGCATCCCTTTGGGCTGGTGGGCTTTTATTCCCCTGGTGCTTTGGGAAGTGGGATGAGGAACAGTTGCTGGGATGTTCCACTTCCCAGCACAAGAACAGGCAGCTGGACAAGAGCTGTTGGCCTGGAGTCAGAGATCAGCACTGGCATGGTGAGGAAGGGATGCAGCCTATGGAGGTGTCTCAGCCTCTACAAAAGCCAAAGCTGACCTCTCCTTGCTCTCTCCTCCCGCTGCAGTTCTATCTCTCTGATGCCGATTTCCACGATATCTTTGGGAAGTCCAAGGAGGAGTTCTACCAGATGCCCAAATGGAAGCAGCAGAATGAGAAGAAACAGTGTGGACTCTTCTGAGACCACAGGGGCCATCCAGCATCCAGTGACTCTGGGACTAACCCTCGCCCTCTTAGGAGCTGCAGGGAAGAAGTGCAGGCATTTGCTCAGTGAACCCAACCCAACGTCCCAACCAGGCCCAGCTCCAACGCAGTTATCCCAGCAGCCACTGCTCAGGGGATGGCTCCTTCCTGCAAACCCAGAATGCTAGGAGGCGAAACCTTTTGCTGGAACAGCTTGGCAGGATGTTTTTGCCTCTTCCCGACACTTTATTGCTGATAGCCACGAAGACAAGTGTGTGCCACACAACTGTATTGTAGCCTCTTCTTTCATTTGCCTTTTGCAAATCACCATGTGCACAAGGTCATGATATCCCTTCATTTGTAGAAGTTTAAAATTAGGCAAGACAAAGGCCATTTGCAGCTGCTGTGTAAACGCTGGGTGGGGAAAGGAGGGGGAAGCCCTAAGAGGATAGAGGGGGGAGCCTTGAGGCCGGGAAAAAGGTAATGGAGTAGCCAGATGTCCAATGGAGTAGTCCATGGAGTGACACCAGACAGTTCTTCCCCTTCTCACCTTGTAGAAAAACTACCCACCAAAGAACAGCAAGAATCAGTTGTAGACTAACAGGCATAGATACCCCAGGGCAGGTAAAACATGTGGGAACCTGGTTTGGAAAAAAAAGCACTTATTACAAATATATTTATTAGCTGATCTATTTCAAGGGCTAGGTACAAATGCTGATTTTGTCTGCCATGCGAGACTCTATCTACTTTTTCCTCATTCAGACAGCATCTGCAATCTCACCTGGCCTCCCTGAGCACAGCCAGGTGAATGTGAGAGTCCACCTGCCCAAAGACCAGAGGCTTGAGGAAGCCAGGAGGGTTTTGGGTATATCCTGAGGCAGAGCTTGTCCTGCTGAAGGTTTTATCAGGGCTCCATCCCTGTGATGCCCATGGGGCTGAGGGGTGCCTGGTCCACACTGTGGGCTCTGACTGGGGAGGGTGGCAGGAAATGTGAGAGTGATCAGTGATTAAGGGATACAACTGTAACCTAAAGGAAGAAACACCTGTTTAAAAACTCAGACAGTGTGGTTTTGCAGCTTTACTCCATTTCCAGCCTGACCAGTAATTCCAAATAAACATCCAGCAGCAGCACTTTTAAGTGTCCTTGATCAGCGTGTGGGGTAGGATGGCAGTAGACAAAAGCTCTGCAGTGCTACAGATCCTTCAGACACCTGGTCATCAATGGAATTCTGGATTTTTTTGAAAAAAAAAGAACTGAGGAAATGGAGCCCCTTCTGTTCCCAGACACCACACCCAGGACAGTTTGTCTCCCCACGCCCGTGCCTTCTCCTGAAGCCTCCCATTGCCCATGAGCAGCAGTGCCTGACTGCCCACCCCTGCTGCGGGGGTGTGGGGATGGAGCTGAGGAGCTGCAGGCTCCTCATTGAGGAGGAGCAAAGAGCTCTTACTCAAAACCCAGGACCATTGCACTGAAGTGTCACCAGCTGGTTGGGCTGGAGCCGGGACCTCCAGGTGATGGGGTCTTCTGGACAGATCTCTGTGTTTAAGAATTGGCAGTTACTTCATATAAGCCCCAACCCCATCATTACCTCTGTGTTCCTGCCACCACTTTTGCCCATTTCTGCTTGAGGGTTCAGCCCAAAACCCATTGAAACTGCCTGTGCAGAGTAAGTTAAGCACCAAGCAGAGACACAAATCAGCCGAATTACCTGTGTGATTGCTCCTGTTGTGCTCACATGAGGTGCAATCAGTGCACATTATCCATGTTTCAGCCTCCATTGCCACTGCTGGAAGCAGCAATATTTGCCTCACCCCGCTGTGCCACGCTCCTGCCAGCTCCTGAATTAAGGAATTGCATGTGCTCCTCAATAAGTTGCAGGAGTGCCACCTACCAGCCCCGACTGTGGGCCTAACGAGCTTCACACAATCAAATGAAGAGCAGCCAAAATATAGTCAGATTAGGGAGATTAGGTCAGTGTGCTACAAATTGCTTTAATTCCTGCAGCCACAATGCTCACCAACACAAGCAGAGCGCTCCTGCCAGCAGTAGGAAACCTGCATGGGATTTTACAGACCATAGATCCATCTGACACTTGGGCCTGATGGAAACTACTGCTGTTCTCCTCTTCTTATGGTAGAGTGGTTTTTACTCTCTGCCTCTGATTTCTAAAGGAAAGATTCTCACCCACAGCCTCCTTTTCATGCCGTTTGCTGCTTTTGCTGTGGCATCTGGTGGGCCATGACCTGTTTCTGCTGCTCTTTTCCTCAAAGCTCCCTACAGTGGGACTCCAACACTTTCTATTATGCTCAGAGATGAGGTTCCTTGATAATGACATGGACCACATCCCTTCCTTTTGGGAAGCAGACCTCACAGAATTGTCCATCATGCTCTCCGTCCCATCTCCATCTCAGCTACGTCCCCATCTGGTTCCAGTATTTTCCCCCAACTGTTCCTACCTGATGAGGGGTGTTTTCTCTTCCCATGGATCTTACCTGACTTTATTTAAGTGTGCAACAGGCAGAGGAAAACCCAGCCTCTCTGTGATCCACCTAAGCCCACCCAGGCCCTGGATGGTGTGGTCCTGCCCCCACACCTCTCCCAACACCCTCTCCCCCACTTTCCTATTGCTGGCCACAGCAGGCAAGTGAGGGCTTTAACTCAAATAATCCAACTGAAATCTAATCCTGCAACCCAAAAAATGCAAATAATGTGTTTGCAGCCAATCCAGTGGGTTGATATGACTTCACAGAATAACAACCACAGAATGGTTTGGGTTGGGAGGGACCTTAAAGATCATCCAGTTCCAACCCCCCTGCCATGGGCAGGGACACCTTCCACTATCCCAGGTTGCTCCAAGCCCCATCCACCCCGGCCTTGAACATTTCCAGGGATGGGGCATCCACAACTCCTCTGGGAAACCTGTACAAGTCCCTCGCCATCCTCACAGGGAAGAATTTCTTTCTAACCTACCCCACAAGAGCTGGTGCTGACACAAGGGAGGGGGGCAGGAACATTTCTGACCATGCCTGCTCTCCCACTGCATGGTGGAAGCTCCCTGGGTGGCACAGAGCAGTCCTGGGTGTCCTTTGTCCATGCTTTTTATCCCACTGCTCCTTAAAACGAAATGCTGAGAGCACACTGAGAGCAGGGACTGTGAACACCGGCTGTCCCTGGGCGGGAGTCAAGGCCTGGCTCCAGCCCTGGTCATCAAATGTGCCTCCAACAACATGCCCCCATCCCAGAGGTGAGTTGAGAAAGCCCATGTCACTGCAGGACACTCTGCTCTGCCTCTCTGGCCTCTCCACTCCTGGACTCTCCCACCCACTGGCTGTTAACGCAATACGAGCCTTTGAGGTGTGGATATAATTCACATTTAATTTGGCAACAGTTTACAACATCTCACAATATTGTAGTGAAGAGGAAAAATCAATGTGTCCAGCAATGATTACTGAAGCATAACAAACTCCACAGAGGAGTAAAAGAAACCCAGCTTCACAGCAGGCCCAAGGATCACTAAATCCAGGCTGTTTTGGACTCAAAAAATAAGTTGACTGGAGTAGGTTTAAAAAGACATTAACATTTTTGGTATCAGCCCGTCCTCTCCACCACCAGGGACTGAAAACCCCAGAAAGCCTGATAACTTTAAAAATTAAGCAGATCTATCTCCAAATTCATGTGTGCTGCATTCAAGTAGGACAAAGAGGCAAATAGTGACAACTAACTGGACTCTTCCAGAATTTTTTTAAACTTTTAATAGTCTAACGCATTGTTAGTAACATAGCTGGCATTTCAAAATATATATTATTTTATTTCAACAATATTCCCTTAACTCTGTAGTTCTACTGGAAGAAAAAAAAAAAATCACTCGTTGCCATAAATACTGAGTTGCTGTTCAAAACACTCCTGTGTGTTTGTGCTGGGTTACCTCTGCAGTGCAACTGGGGCCGGCTAACATTTACAACATCCACTGCCACTTCCTCTGTGTTTAAAAAATGACATTTCTCTATAAAAACACACAGTTTTATTGCATTAAAAAAAAAAAATCCCTACTGTCAGTCGAGTGTGTTTCTACGTGTCACCGGCAAAGGTGTTCTCTGAGGTCCCTTTTGAGTGGGGTTTCACTTTGGGTTAGAGGGAAATCTGCCACTCAGCAGCTCCTTTCTCCTTCACAGGGTGAGAGCCAGGCTTTGAACGCAAAGCAGCCTGGCTGGGAGCCAGGCACACAGGCAGGGTAGTGTTCATGTATTTTTCATTACAACACAAAAGGAAAGCCGAGTTACATAACACGGGCCTTTGTAGTGCAGCTTTCTTTTTTAATCTGTAACAGGGAAGGGGGGAATCGTGTCCCCATTTAAGACTTCATACGGTGAAAGATGGCTGACACCTGCAGCTGCAAGAAGTCACCTGGCGCCTGGCCACTGATTGCAGTGGACTTTTCTTCTGGCACAGATGTTGGGTGTTTTGTCCAGATGTCTGACTGAACCCAACCCAAGAGCTGTACTTCACTAAAAAGGAGTCTCTATCCTCTCGCTAAAAGCAACATTAAAAAAATCTAAATAAAGTGAACTAAAAACACGGCTGGATTGGTCGAACAGGTACAAAAGGATTCATCTCAACAGCAGCAGTGGGATGTTTCCAGCACGCAGAAGGGAGAAGGTCGATGGCTGTTTCACATCGGGGTCCTACGGAGCACCGTGTGCTGCTCCAGGGAAGGTGCTGGGGATTGGCAGGACCCTGACGTTGGCAGAGTTCACACACTGAATTCCTTCCAGGTCTGTAACGAGGTTCACTGTGCCCTGAAGGAGCCGAGCTGCTAATCACAGTCCTGGATATTGATGTACACAAAGAGGGTGGAGGAGGAGTACGGGTCTCCGTTCTTGGTTAGAAGATGGATGTGGCGATAACCTGGAAGCAGAGGCACAGATGGAAAGTGGCCTTTTGTCCAGTTGGAAAAACATTTGCTGACATTTGCCAAGACCCTGCAAAAACACCTCCCTTTCTCAGAGTGTTTTGCTCCCAGTATCCCACAGAACAGGCAGATCCAAGAGGCTTTGATATGCCCAAAGCCACTGGGGACAAGGGGGGCCCTTCCCTAGAGACAGTGTTATCAGCTGCCCAAACAATCTGTTCTGACCTGAGGTATGATGAATCTGGAACACTCAGGACACTGGAACTTCCCAAAGGGTTCAGTGGTTGTGAGGAACAGGGAGCAGGGCCTTACCTTGCTTCAGGCTCGTGAAGGGAAGGGTGTACTGCCCGATGAAGTCGTTCTTGGTCGACATGTCAAAGTCTTCCACCACAAACCGGACCAGGGCGAGTGCAGGGATCTCTATGTCAAATGTAAACTCTTCATCCCATTTTGGGTTAAAGCCTGGACAACACAGACAAGGATATCAGAGATGGTGGCAGGTAAGGATGGTGGTCAGAGGTGTTGCAAATCAGTGGAGACTCTGCCTGAAAGCCAACCTAATCTGACCCAGGCCAGGGGTCTTAGGAGGTGCCAAGAGCCTTGTTCCCAGCTCCAATACTCATTTGCTCCCTGGTATTAATAAATCCTTCAGCTCAGGCTGCTCGCTGCAGACCTCAGCGCCATTGTCCCAGAAGGCAGTGAGGAGCAGGAGGGAGGGGAACTCAGCTCTGCTCCATATACCATCTGGTACATGGATGTCTTTGCTTGCCATTGGACCAGTTGCATATTTTTACAGCCCTAAAACAGGGGAGAGCAGAGAGGAGAGCTCTGTCTTTGTGTTGTGACAGACTCCTGAGGCCTTAAGCCTCTCCAACTTCTTGAGATACACCCATCTAACCACCACCCCGTGCCTCATTTCCCCTGTCTGCAAGAAAGGTTAAAGAGGAGTGTCTGATTACAGAAACCATCATCAAGTCTGATAAGGATCATGTAGTCCAGACTCAAAGCAAACAAAACCAAGACCATCACATCAGATAAGAGGTGGAGAGCAAGCTCAGTGCTCTCTCTCCAGGTCACAGGAGGTGCAGTTCCAACAGACCACTCCCCAGAAACAAACAGGAGGAGAGGACATTCTGTTGGAAAACCTGCTGCCATTGGCAGAGCCTGTGCAGAGCAGAGACCAAGGACAGCAAAACATCCCTGCTGGTCATGAAGGGTTTGTGGGGGATTCAGTAGGAGACAGGGATCTTTCAGCTGGCCCTGGAGGTGCTGAGAGGGGCCTGGGGACTGTGCCATAGCACAATACCTGTGCTGCATTGGTGTACTTTATTTGGACCCTTCTATGATTAAATCAACTGGACTGTTCACACAAAACACATCTGCTCCAGACTCTTCATCCCTGGGGAAAAAAAACTGTTGCTGAACAAAGTGTTGCTCATCCCATGGGAGCAGAAATCATGAAAGCTGAGGGAGTGTCACTGGCCCTAGGACAGTAGGCTTCACTCTAGTGGAATCTGTGGGGGATTCTCAACCCATCTCAGAGCCACAGTAAGATAGAGATGCTGAGCCAGCAGGTTCCTACAGCCTCTTGAGCTCC